GGGGTGAAACTTGACAGTCCCTTTGGGGGTGTAAATCTGCAGAAAGACTGGGGGTTTAAAATTCGAACGGTGTTGGGAGGGTGAAATTTTGGGAAGAAAAAAGTTGGGGGGGTTCCCTCGATACATGTTGGGGGGGTTAAACTTGGTACACTTTGGGAGGGGGTTAAAATCGACAGATACCCTTTATTAAATCTACGTAATTTAAATTTGTTTCCTAAATACTTTTAAAGGGGTAAACTGAAAAGATACTGTTGGAGGGGGGTTTAAACTCTTAAAAAATTTGAGGGGGGTTTAAAATTGCAAAAACCCTTTAGGGGGAAAACTAAGATACCCGTTGGGGGGGTGTAAAACCTTGCGTTTTGGAGGGTTAAATCTGCAGTCCTTTGGAATTAAAACTCTGAAATTTTTTTTTTTTTAAAATTGACAAAACGTGTTGGAGGGGGTTAAAATTACAAAAAACGTTATGAAATCTAATGCATTTTTTGGAGGGTTAAATCGACAGATACACTTTGGGGGTGTAAAATTTGAAGAAACACGTTAGGGTTTTTTAAAATTGAAGTTCCTTTTAGGGGGTTTTGTAAATGAAAAATACCTTATTTAAATTGACAGAACACGGTTTGGGGGTTTTAAAATTAAAAAACACTGGTGGATTTTAATTCAGTTTAAGGTATTAAAACCGAAGTACACTGTTGGAGGGTTAAAACCCGCGATACACTGGGGGGTGTAAAAAACGTACCTGGGGGGGTTAAACTTACAATAATTTGGGGGTTTTAAATGACAAAAACGGTGGAGGGTTTTCCCCTTTCAGATCCTGGTTGGGGGTGTCTCTGACAATACCCCCCTATGTAAATTGACGATACACTTGGGGGGGGAAAACTGAAAAATAACTGGGTGGAGGGGTTTTTAAACCCCGACAAATACACTGGTGGGAGGGGAAACTCTGACGTAACGTTGGGGGGGAAAATTAAATCCGGGGGGAGGGTGTAAACTCTGAAGTACCTTAGGGTTAAAGAAAAACCTTTGGGGTTTTCTTACGTCACTGTTGGGGCCGAACTTGCGATAATTGGAAAGGTTAAATTAAATACAGGGGAGGGTTTTTTAAAATTAAAAATAAATGTTGGGGGTGTTAAACCCCCCTTGCAGAAACCTGGTAGGGGGTCTCGCAGATACACTGGTAGGGGAAACTTGACAGTCACTGTGGGGGGTAAACTCTAAAGATACATGGGGGAGGGGGTAAAAATTGACAGAAACACGGGGAAGGGTTTTTAAACTTGGCAATAAACACTTAGGGGGTAAACTCTCAGTACACTTTGGGGGGGGGGTTTAAAATTACGTACCGGGGAGGGTGTAAAACCCCAAAACACTTATTAAACCGACAAAAAACCTTGGATGAAATTTTTACAAAACCTGGTGGGGGTTGGGTTTTTTAAACGCTACACTTAGGGGGTAAACCTACAATACCTTTTAGGGTTAAACTCGACAGGGTACACTTGGGAGGGGGTTTTGGGGTCATGGGGATTAAAAATCTGGTACATTTAGGGTTTAAATCTGAACGTACACGTGGAGGGTGAAATCTAAGATACCATGTTGAGGTTTTAAAAACCCGGGACAATACCGTTTAAAGGGGGTTTTAAAAATTGACAATACACTGTTGGGGGTTTTAAACTCTACAGAATAACTTTGGAGGGTTGTAAATTAATTAAAAATGGCAAAGGGATGTAAAATCTTTACAAAATTCAACTTTTATTTTCAAAAAGAAAGAATGAAGAAAAACATCAAAACTTGGACCCCTTAACTCAGTATGACCCCATTGGTTTACCTGGCCTTGCTCTTTACCAAAAGTAACAGCCGGGACAACCCTGGGAAACCCCGGAGGCCTGGTTTCAGGACCCTGGGGGTTTTTTTGGGCCCCCGGAATACCTCCAGGTAAAATTTCCATATTCTAAGGTTAAACCCTCCAGGGTTTCTAAGGGATTACCATAAATCCCTTACCTTATTACCCTCCAAAATACTCCAGGTTATACTAGGTAATTTTCTTGGTAAACCCTCCAAGTTATCCAGGTTCAATTGGTAACCCTCCAAAATTTTTCCAGGTTTTCCCAATATAGGTAATTAAAGGGGTTTTATGTCCCAGTTGGGAAAAAAGGAAACCTGGGGACGGTTTTAAGATTAAGTCCCCTACTGCCCATGCGTTTTGTATTGGTGAAAAAACCAGGTTTGGGGAAAACTCCCCCGAAACTCACGAAAGCTTTTTGTTTTTTTCTATGATGGCCAGCCGGCAAGTGCACAAATAATGCTTTCTACTAATTTCTTAGGAATTTTTTGTGGTCCCCCGTGAAAAATTAATTAAAAATAAAACATGTTACCGCGGGGGGGATACCGACATTAGTCATTTTTACGATTTTGATTTATTTTTTTTGGACGGGGAGAAGCCCTCCTGGCAAAAAGCGTTCCCCTTTAAAAATTACCCTGAGCTGTACAAAATGACTTTTTCCCCACCTAATAATTTAAATTTTGACTGACAAACAGGGAAAAAATGTGAAGAAAAAAATACTACCGGGCAGCAATAATTCTAAACTCATCAAAAGGTAAAAAAAACGGGCCCCCCTTAGGTTACCAAAAAAAGGAAACCCACGTCCCTTCCTTACAATATTAAATTAAATGGCTCAATTTTACCCCCTTTTTTGGGCCCCTTTTTACAAGAATGGTCATGCAACAGAAAATTGATGATTAACTGTTTCTCCCAAACATTTCCCCCATAATTTAAAAATAGGACCCCGTAGCATCCCCCGGGACGTGTAGATCGGGGGCCCAGATCAGTTCACTCCCCCATACACCTTTCATTACTTTTCTACCTAACTTGCATGCATGGCAATTTTTTTCCATAAATGGGAGTGAAACTCCCACCTCATTTAATTGAAAATGTTTGGGGTTGGGGGTTGGGTTAGGTTTGAAGCCTGCCAACCACAAGGTCATTAAGGTGCATATGATTTGTACTTTAAAAGGTCAACCCCTCAAAAAAAATTGAATTAACTCTGTGCATGAAATATGTTAAAAATTATTTAATAAATTATAATAAATAAAATATATATATATATATAAAATATATTTTTTTTATATTTATAAAATATTTTTAAAAAATTTATATATATAAATATATATATATATATTTTTTTGGCCCGAATAGAAAAACTGGAAATTAGAAAGAACTTTTTTAAAATTAAGTCCTTTCAAAAATTTTCTTTATACTTTTAAAAGATTTATTTTTCATTATTGTTAATGCAAAAATTTTTAATTTTGCACCAAAAGAATTTTAAAAATTTTCCCAACCCTTATTATAAGAAAAACAATTTTTTTTACCCAGCCCAACAAAATATATTTTAATTTTTTTTAAATAATTTAAACTAAACAAAAAAAAGTAAACTTTTTTTTTCGTTGGTTCAAATGATTTTGGCAAATTTTGCATACACAAATTTTTTACTTGTCCCATAAGGCAAGATGAAACGTTGTATTTAAGCCAAGTCGCAAGTTTGCCTATTCGGGCATTAAAAATTTACATCAATTTCCCCTTATAATTAAAAAAAAAAAAAAAATATATATATATTTTTTTTTATATATATATTTATATATATAAAAATATTTTATATAACATAGACGAATTAGAAACTGAAAACAAAAGTTTAAATAAAGTATTTTTATGGTTTACAGTGTTTGATAGTCGTATATGGTTATACAGATGTTTTTTTAAGTCGTATATGGTTATACAGATGTTTTTATACACGTATATGGTTAAACAGATGTTTTAACGTCGTAAGGGTTATACAAACTTTTATATAGTCGTATAACCCAAAACTCTCGACGTCCCCCAATCAATGGATTTTTTAGATCTTTGCAAAGTTTCACATCGTCAGGGTCGTGGGGGGTACTGAGGTAATCATTACTTAAAACGGCAGACTTGCGACGTTCTTTTCCTCCCCAGACACCCCCCGCCCCCGGGTTTCAGGAAGAAGCCGAGTTGTCCCGCCAAAACCCTGATCTTGGAAACAATCAATGTAGTTTTATTAATCTAATATAATTTTTTTTAAAAGGGGAGACTGGAAGCCAGCGGAAGATCTTGGGCGATGACCAAAAACCCAGTGGCTGGTCTCCTATGACGAAGACCTCGTAAGAAAAAACTTGTCCTGTATCCTGACAAAAATACCCAACCAACCTGGGGTTTAGGTGTCCGAGTTTTTTTAATGTGGTTTTAAATGAATGCTAATTAACCTTCCTGTAATCTGTGTAATGAAGTATTCAAATAAAGTGTTTTCCTTTGAATTAAAAAAAGGATTAATTTTGGTTCGTATATTTTATTTCCGCCGCATTTTTACGTTTAAAAGGGGTAAATTTTTGCAGTCAAAAGGTCCAAATCTTTCAAAACGTTGTAATCATAACAAACAACATACTTTAAAAAAATTAATTATTCTTTCTGAAAATAGTGGGGAAATACAAATCCCCCTTTAAAAAGAGTTTCTTAATATTTCTTTTTAATCTTTTAAAATTTACTTTTCATTTCCGCTGAGAAAAAAATTAAATTCCTTTCCCCATATTCCTACTTGTTGAAAAGACGATTAAAATTCCCCGGGAAAAAAGAAGCCTATTGTCCCTTCCCCAAAGAGAGAATTAGAAAGGGAAAAATTCAAGTTGTTAACGGGGTTGCTGGGATGTCTGAGAGTTGTTAATACGCAAATGTTTTCATAACTGTTTAGTGATAGAAAAAATTTAAATTTTGCTTGTTAACTGATGATCAAGGGGGGAAGGAGGTGTAGGAGGGTGTAGGGGGGTGAGGAGGGAGGTGGATCTGCTGTTCGTACTGAATTCAACAGTAAATAGGTGAGAGAAACTAAGTAGTTTAATGTATTTATTGATTTGGAAAAAGCATATAACAGGGTGGATAAGAAAATGATGTGATTGGTCTCACCCTCCGTGTGGATGGTTGCTACATTATGTGGAGCAGTCTG